CTCGTCAAAACTCAAACCCACATCTCGTTTCAATGAAGTTCACTGTAATCGAGCAGCAGCTTGCATATGTTCTCATTTCACTAACTATTCACTTTTCTATTGGTGTTTTTCTCAAAACAAAAAAAGCCAAGCTTTATTTGTCTTTTCGGCTCTATACATAAGCAATATTAAGAGGCCCAATGTTCAAGTTCAAGCAATCGAAAATAACTTTCACAATGTTGACGAATGTCCTTCAGTAACGATTCAAGTTGTTTAGCATCATTACCGAGTAAATCAAGAAGACGTTGGCGAGCTTTTTCCACTACACCATGCCACATTGTTAACATTGCAGCAAAACGTGTCTCGAATGTAATAATAACAATAGCTGAAATGAGAACTTGTTTATCGTACGATGATGAAACGTTTTTCCATGATTTTCCAGTCAAATGTTGTAGATCACTTTCATCCAAATCCCATAAACCATCAAATTTTTGTTTGTTAATCAAATAGCGAACAATATTTTGATCGCCTGTAGGCCATGTTTCATATTCTGATTTAGCGTTGGAAAACTGCTCGGGTGATGTGTTCGTAGGAAAATCACAACTGGATTTGGGTAATGATGGAAGAGAACACTGCATGCCAAACTCTGCAGCTTCTAATTCTTGTAATTCCTGTTCTAATTCTTGTAATTCCTGTACGGAAAGACTCTCTAATTCATCAGTTGGTACGAGAGGTGCAGCGATTGCTGAACATACATCCATCGATACGGTAGACTCACAAAGTTCATCGCACAAGTCCTGGATTTCAAACGATGAAAAGTTCAGCACTGGTGTTCGCAATGCACGCTGAGGAGCAGAAACAGCCCTCAAGCTAGTGAAAGACGCCCTCTCTAAGTGTCGGTCATCGGCCGATATTTCAATCGGTATTTCGCGCAAGAGCATATCAGCATTACTGACATTTACTCGTTTTTCAACACCAATAAAGGCAGTGTATGGGCTCAGAATTTGATATTTGAGTGAAAGTTCAATAATGGATTTCTTTATTATTTCTTTCTCATCTATCGTTGTTGCTGGTGTTAGAGATGGATTATATTCTTGAAATCGACTTTGCAATGAGCCTGAATTGTTCTGTTTCATCGATGAAGACAATTTCGAATGTTGCAATTCGAGAATGAGTGCTTTAGCAGCGAGTCTAGCAATAGTTCCATCGGTACTCACATTTGGTATGCAATCAATTTTTGCCTCGCCTATTGGATTTTTATCGGTATGTAATTTGACGTTCGAATCGTGATTGAAGAGAATCATTGGATCATTGGTAAGTGCATAGACAATTAGACGATCATTAGCATAGATTGGTGGTATTTTTGTTGGTGCACTCATAATATTAGAACCAAGATTCCATTCTACTTGTACGTTAGTTATAGATAATTGAAGAGCTTTTTGTAACTGTTCACCAACATAAACATCGACACTAGTTTTAGGTGGAATAAAAACGAAACATCCATTTGTTGCTCGAGCAAGGCCTTTGACCAATGAACGACTTGGTGAATAACCCAAACCAAATGAAAAGATACGTGTCGACGTAGCCATTGAACGACATAGATCAAGTACTTCATTGACATTTGAAATTTCTCCATCTGTCAACAGAAATATTTGTCGTGCACGACCTTCTTCTGGCGAATATTGTTCTAACCATTGAAGTGGTCTTAACTAGAATAGAGATAGAAATTTAGTTTTTTTTCTTAAGATAAAATGATTGAAACTAACCAATTCAGTTCCACCCAAATCTGCTTGCAAATTATTTATGAGTTTTTCAGCTTTTTGAGCATTTTGTTCGTTGTAAACAGCAGTAATCTCTTTGAATAATGTTTCATAATTTGTTCCAAAGCGAATGATATTGAAATGACAATTCATCGGAAGACTCTTGAGAAAGAGTAACATGGCTTGACGCACCAATCCGATCTTGTTGTCATCTTTCATTGATCCACTACAATCGATAACAAACATAAACTCATTGGTTGTCTTCATATTATTCATCGCACGTTGACAATCTTCTTTAGTTGGTATAAATGAAGCCATAACAGCACCTTGTTCGACAGCAACAATGGTATTCGAATGATTACTAGCTAATTCAATATCTAACAAGATATCTCGATCTAAATGAGTATTTTGTTGTGCAAATTCAATGACATAGACATTCTCTTGGCTAAGATCAATCTGAATTGGATGAGACGTTGAACTCACTCGAGAAATATTGGCTTTCTCTACTCGACAACGAAATTCAATTGTGTATGGAGCTGTTTGAATGTATTTGGATGTAGTACCAGCCGGCGAACCGATTCCGCCTTTGTCAGGGTTGTAACGAGATGCAATTGTTGTCGGAACAACAAATCGGATGCTACTTCCATTTTGAACAAGATTCAGTTCGGAAACGTACGATATATGAATATGACATTCTTTACCAGGTGGTAGTGCACCAACATTGATAATAAAATTATCTTGAGATTTTTCATCTTGTTCGAGTAAATATGCACCATGACCTTGACGAATAGCATCATTGTATTCTCGTTGTGCTTTTTTTTTTCTTTTAATTGTGCTACAATTTCTAGATCATCAATTCGTGCAATAAATGAATAGATTGCTGCTTGTTCTTCTATTGGAAAACAGTATACAGCCTCAATTGGTTTCGTTTCATCGTTGCGAAAAATTTGTTTGATGGTTACATCAGCAGCAAATGATTTAATGTAGGCTTCGACGTTCACTTGTTTTAAGGGTACGTATTGTTGTTTTGACTGTTGTCTAGAAGAAGAAGAATCTTGCTTGATTCGAAGCATTGTATAGAATGATATTGCTTCTGAAACTGCTCTCTTAAATACTGACTGCTTGCTTACTTAAGATAACAAGATAACATGAAAATAGGAAGAAAGAATACCGCTGCGTGATTCATAGAAAAGAAAAGGGTGTGGGTGTGGGTGGGATGTGGGTGTGCGTGTGAGTGTGGGTGGGGTGTGGGTGTGGGTGTGGGTGTGTGGGTGTGGGTGTGGGTGTGGGTGTGGGTGTGGGTGTGGGTGTGAGTAAACAGAGATAGGAGCCACACCCACACCCCC